CCAGCCCTTCATTGCACCCAGGCCAGATAGGGGAGAGGCTGGGCGCCCCGGTGCTCGAGCACACGCGTGTGGGTGTGCCCACATAGCCGTGCCCCTCGCTGCCTGGCGGCGCCCTGTGCCCAGGTGCGGGGCAGGTGCCAGTCACCGCTGCCCTCCCCCTCCCCCGTCAGCCGCGGCAGGCACCCCTTGGGGAGGGGGTTGGGAATGCTGGAAATGCGTCATTCTGCCTGTTGCCGTGGAAACCATCTGCTCCCTGCGCGTTCGGGAGCTGGCAGCTCTGGGCACGTGGGAGACGGGGGGGCTGGGGCAGGAGGGGGAGCGCGAGCGGCAGGGGATGGCACGCTCTGCACCAAGGACGCCCCGGGAAGGTCACCAGGTGCAGCGGCCGCACGTGGGCTTCCAGTCGGGGGCTAGGGGTGCTGGAAGGGCCCCGTCGCAACCAGCACCCGCTCCCCCAGCAACCCACCGCGGAGCCCCCTCCTGCCTGCACCAAAGGCCTGGGCAACGCTGGTGCCAGGGGGCTGGGGCTAAAAGGCCCAGGGCTTCGTGGGGTACCGAGTTGCCTCAAAGGTGCTGGGCAGCTTGCAGCGGCGCTCAGCGAGAACCCATGACCCGCTGTGGTCGAGCCACCCGCCAGGTGCAGGGGACTGAGCCGTGTCCTAGGGAGGGTGAATCCAGGCTACTCCCTGCAGACCAGACCTGGGGAAGGGCAGTGGGAACAGCACCGGGGCAGCAGGGACAGCCCTATGCAGGGTGCATGAGAGGTGCCAGCTCCCCGGTGCAGCATCCAGCTCTCCCCTTCCAGTGGGGAAGGCCTGAATTGTCCCCCTCTCATGCACACGTGCAAGGAGGTGCACACATCTGCACACGCATGTGCACACTTGGACCCTTGGGCTGCCAGGCCTCCTGGGCTGGGGCAGCACTGTCAATCCAAGCCCACCCCGGCCTCTGAAGCTGAAGCCCCTTTGCACTTTGCAAAGCCAGAGGGATGCTGCGGGAGGACAGATGTGTGGACATGTCTGTGTGTGCGACATGTACATGCAGCCACATAGCCAGCAGGGGGCATGAGTGCCCCGACCGGCCTGGCTGCTGCAGCCCAGCAAGGGCGGTGGGGGCAGCGGGCAGCTTGCTTTGACCCCCAGGGCTTCCCCTCCATCCACGAGACCCCCGGGAGCCTGCATGGCATCTGCCACCCCCAGAGGCTGGGTGTGGGGCTGGAGCAGCTACACTGGAGCAGTGTCTCCTTACACACCCATGTACACAGGCTCATGGGCCCACACCCTCTTCGCTCCCAGCTCTCCCCTGTCGCCTCCATCCGGCTTTTTGCACCCTGGGCTCAGCCCGGGAGGATCCAGCACCGCCAGAAACAAAGGAGGGCTTGAAGCATGGCTGGGAAAGGGCTTTTTGGCATGGTAGGGAACGCCTGCCAGTGCACGGGGCAGTGAGGCCCTCTCGGCACGTTGCCCCACAGGCGATACCGCCTAGTGCCCTTGGCCGGTCAGAGGCAGCACCCAGCAGGGCCAAGGGCATTTGGAGCAGGACGGGGCTGGGTCCCTGGGCTCTGAGCTGGGCGTCCTGCAACATCCGGGCACGCTCCTCGTTCACTTGCCGGCTGCATTTTTGGAGCCTGGCTTCAAGGTTGATAAGATGCCTCCTGCGGGATGGCTGAGCAGGGGGCATTTCCTGATCCCTGTCTGCTGCTCCGGGTATGACCATCGCCAGGGCCTGGGCAGGGAGGAGAGCGACTCTGGATCCCTGGGGGGGCGGTTATTAGCAGGAAAAAAGCAGCACGGCAGATGGAGACGGGCACAACGTGGCACAGTCACTAGGCTGGCCGGCACCTCTTCAAACACTGCCCTGCTCCTGTGCTGCAGCTGTCTGCACGGGGCTTTGCTGGGCTAATTAGTGCTGCTGATTGACAGTGCCAATTAACTCCCCACACCAAACCAGTTCAGCTGCAGGGATACAGCTAGCCCAGGCTGGGAGGTGGCTGCCATGCAGTTTGCCATGCAGATGTAGCTGTTACAGGTGTTACAGGTGACCTCTGGACACCCTTCCTCGGCCAAGCCGTGAGCTGGCAGTTGGGTGATGGAGGACATGGAAAGCCCCGAGGAGGAGGGGATGGCCCCTTGTCGGGGTGTCAGGGGAGATGGGCTGCCCCAGAGGCAGCTCTAGGAAGGGAACCTGCTCTGTCCTTCCCAACTCCAGGGCACCGACAGCTGCAGGGAGGGCAAGAGCTGCAGCCAGTCTCTTAGGCCGCTGTTGAGATGTTATTTAGAGCAAAAGTATTACTGAGAAAAATGTTGCTTTGATTGCAGGGCCTCAGGTCTCTGTGTAATCATCATCATCATCATCACAGTCCCCGCGGGCAAAGGGGAGAGCAGCCGGCTCTGAGCCTAGGTGGGTGGTCCTGGGGTCTGCAATGAGGGGTCCTTCATGCACCAGAAAGCATCAGAGGTGCAGAGCGACTGGACTGCCCAGAGCCGCAGGGGCTCAGCACCCGCGTGAGCCGGGCTGGGAGAGGGTCCCGCTGGCTTGGCAGTGAAACGAGGCCTTTAGAAACATGGAGATGGACTGAGACGGGGAGGAAGCTGGGAGATAAAGCAGGATTTCTTGCTCTCATAGACAATGAGGGGTGAAGGGACCTTGGGAGGTTGCATCTAGTCCAAAGCAGGACCAGCCCCAGCTACATCGTCCAGCCAAGGCTTTGTCCAGCTGGGTCTTAAACACCTCCAAGGATGGCGAGTCCACCACCTCTCTGGGGAGCCTGGTCCTGTGCTTTGCCACCCTCCTAGGGAGAAAATGATTTACAACAGCGTCTCCCAGCTGTTGAGCTGCACCCACACAATTGTCTTTTCCCCCATTCAGCATAGAGGCCCTTACCTCTGCCCTTGCAGAATAGCAGGGGAGGAGAAAATAGAGAGAAGGCCAAAATAACATGTCCTTAAAAATGAGTTTAATCTTGCCTGGGCCCCAGGCACCCAAGCGCTTTGACTCTAATCAGACGGGAAATGCCCGAACTGTATTTTCATCCCTTAACGTGCTTCTTTTCTTCCAGGTGTAACTGTAAGTCTGAATCCCCTGGGTTGATGCTGTTTGGCACTAGGATGATGACAGTCCCACCCCCCTCCGGCACATCTGGATCCTTAAATTGCTGATTCTCTCAACCTTAACTGCACCGAATGCACAGTCTTTTGTCTATTATTATTATTATTCATTTCCTTGGTGGTTTAATTCATGGGAAGTTTGGAGCTACAGAGTACCAAGCAAAGCGGTGGCTGGAAGGACCACGTGTATTATGCAAAAGGCCTGATGCTTTCCTGAGTGGGGCAGAATTAATTTCTTAATTGGATAATGTCTATGAATAATGGAGAGGGATCAATCAGGGAGATGGTGGGGGAGATGTTCCTCCCAGGGGCTAGTGCTGCTGTGCAAGCCTGGCCGTCTGCACCTCGCCGGGCAGGTAGGTAGGGAAGTAAACCCCTGAGTTGATCCATCTTCCCAGTTCCTGCACAGAAACAAGGGTGGGATTCGCCCCAGAGCCTTGCTCCGAAATCACAGAGCTGCCTGTACAGGTTGCACCCAGGACTGCGTTCAGCCAGGACCCTGAGGGTCTAGACCTAGAAATCCCCGCACCTAGCATAGTCCATGAGCCCTCGCTCAGCTCCAGGGACCATCCCGGAGACCCTGATCTTCAGTGCGTACCTTGCTGGGCTGTGGCTTTCAGCCCTGTATGTCTGCAGGGTGCAAACGAAACCAAATGAAACCAAATGAAACCAGCCATTGCCTACCGCACGGAAAAATAAGTGGCAGGCAGGGGAGATGCCCAGGGGGAGGGCACTGCCGAAATCTAATGGCTGTTCAGGCCTGGGGGCTCCTGGGGGTGGAAAGCCCCCCTGGGCTGGTGGGTGAGAGCCACGTTTCCTCCTGGCCAGGTGCGAGGCTGGTGTCTTATCCCCGCTCGGGCCAATCCTATTTCCCAAGCAGCTGGCCGGCGCTTAGCGACACGGCTGAAGTCAGGTTTCGACGCCGCGGCAGCCAAAGCTGATTA